GAGGGGGGCGGAGGGGGGCGCTTAGATGGCGCTGCGTGGGGGTCTGAAATGCGGATTGGGGACGGCGCGGCCGCATGAGGGATGAGGGGACGAAGCCCCAGCTCCAGCAACGGCTGCGCAGGCACAGAATCAGAGAGCTCTCCTGGATCCCTGGCCACATCAAAGGCCCCATCCTCGCTGAGCCGGGGGCGGTCCTGCCCCCGACGCGGCGCGGGGCCACGCCCGCCGCACGGCGCACGCCGCGGCGCGGGCGCGCGCGCGCCTGTCGATGACGGCCTGCCAGTCCAGGGGCGTCCTGCTGCCCATGACCTCCCCAAGCAAAAACTCCAGGTCCATCGCGGGCGCGTCCCCGCCCATCCAGTAGCGCTGCAGCGAGAGAAAGCTGTCGCTGGTGGCCAGGTGGTCCGTGTAAATGTCAAGACCCTCCTTCTGGCCTGTCGGGACGGGAGGGGGGGAAGTTGTTGCCGATGTTGAAAGAAGGGGAATCAGCATTGTCGAGCTGACATTTGTTCACGGGCATCGACGCGAGGCTGTGGTGAAACCTTGAGAGCATCGTGGGCAGCGACTGCCATTGAGATGCGGCGGCGACCAGCGACGCAACGCCGGCCCGGGCCGGCATCCCGCCCTGGCCGCGAGGGCCGGCGTGGGCGCGCCCACCCGTGAGGAAGTAGCTCGCGTTCATGGCGCCGGCGGACGCGCCGTACACGGCGTCGAACGCGCCGCGCGCGTCAAAGCCCAGCAGGCCGATGAGCATGGCGCCTGCGCATGGGGGGTCAGGCGGGCCCAGGCGGGTGACGCCGTCGTACCTTACCGCTCCACGCAGGGTCACGGGTCACGCGACACATATCAAGGATGACACGCCGCGCAAAGGGGTGCCTTTTGAGCGCACACAAGGCAGGGCGCGTGACAGGCGGGCAGCCGCCGGCCGGCGCGCGGGCTCACCCGTGACAATGCCGCGCATGCCGCCGCCCTCCACAGCCAGCCCCAGCTTGAACCCGTCCCGCCGCCGCCCAGGGACGCTGCCCTCCGCGAGCCGCCGCCGCAGCAGCTCGAGCACCGGATGGTCCGGCGGCGGCAGCGGCTGCATCAGCTCCAGCTCCGGCGCCGCCGCCGCGGGCCGCCGCGGCTGCTGCTGCTGCGGCGGGAGCGGCGGCAGCGGCGACGCCTGCCGCCGGCGCTCGCGCTCGAGCTGCTGCTGCTGTTGCTGCTCCTGCTCGCGCTGCCGCCGCCGCGCCGGCGCCGCGGCCGCGGCGGCCGCGAGGGAGAGTAACTCAGGGGCCATGGCCGCGGTGGCGGGCCCGAGCAGCGCAGCCGTTCTCAAGCGCGCGCGCGAGGGGACGCCCGTGCCCGCCGCGGCCGCGGCGGCCGCGACGCCGGCCGAGAGGCTGGGGGCGGATGCCGCGCGCTGGAGCGGCGGCCGGGGCGGCGCGGCGCGGGGGCCATTGGCCACCTGCAGTGATTGAAGGTGGCACGCGTGCCGGGTGACAGGGGGGGGAGGGCCCGCCAGAACCAGCGCCACCAAAACATGCAGGGCATCGTGAACAGGGCGGCAGCCGGGCAGGCGGCCCGGCTGGTGACGCGGCCCGCTGGTGGCTGACCCCTTGCAAGTGCCTGCCGTCCGCCGCGGTGTCGCACCAGCAAGCTCGCCTTCATCTCAGCTCTGCAGGACCGCACGCGGCGCATCTGGGGGCCGGCGCAGGGCGCCGGGGGCGCCCCCGCCACCGCGGGAGGTGCCAGCTGCCTCTGCATCTGCTGCCCCCCGACGTCGTGCGCGCTGCCGACCCGCCGGGGTCACGTCAGGCAAGTGTATGTATGTGCTTAAGGTTTCTATAGTATTTCTTCCCGCGGAGCGCGTCCTCCGGGGCCTCCGAGCGCAGATGCGGTCTCTTTTAGTTCATGTCCCGCGCAATAGACCGCTTGAAGCAGCTCGAGACATGCTAGTAAATCAATAATACAACGGTTTGCCGTAGCAACGTGAACCGTAGCGTGCTCCCAGTGCGGCGGTGCTCGAGATCCCTCGAGCCGCGGCATCAGGTGCCCGGGAAGAAGTTGTTGTCCCTCCAGTGCGCCTGTCGAGATTCTGTGATGGTATTTTGACGTGAGAAGTCCTCAAAGTTGGGTAACATAAGTTGAGTGCAGCAGGTCTGCGGCCACCACAGGCGGGTGGTTTTTCATGTGTGCGCCCGACTAGGCACGGCTGATTCAGCCTACCTGCTCACTATGATTTGGTTCGGAGCCGCTTGCATCGCGCCTGACATCCAAAATTGACTGCACATTTACATGTCCACTTCTGCAAAGCGCCGGACCAGAGTCGGCCTGCGGCAGATCAGGACTGCAGGGGCAGGAAAGCACGGCGTCCTGATCCGTGAGATGCTCGCTGTGAAGAGCCCTGCAAGCAATGCACCCCTGGATTGTGTGGAGCGGCACACGTTTTACAAGTGCTCCCTCCCTGTATTTCTTTCGTGCCCCCGGCTTTCCGGCGCGCATCTCCCTGAAAAGGCCCTGGCAAGGCAGGGCGGGTCGACAAGGGGATGCTAGGCCCTGCGATGTGGTGCATGAAGTTGCAACACTGCAATTTTAAATAATTGCTGCCACACCTGATTGCTCTCGTTGCAGGTATGCGGTCACACTTTACCCGCATCCGACACATCAAGTCTTGATGAAGTTTGACCCACAAATGTGCGTGCAGGCAGAACTGATACATGCAAACAAATGCACGGTACAACGTGTTGTAATACTTTTGAATAAAGTATATAGCAGTGAGCAAGGTGCTTTGAACACCTTGCGGGTTGGAAAAATCGGCAGGGGCCAGCCCAGCTCCACGAGCTCACTGGGGTACCTCCATAAGCAAACAAGGGAGGTCCCCAGCGCACCCGCGTGAAGCCACCGTTGAGGCCCCCATGGTGAGGGGTGATCTCAAGCAAGCTGGTGCCCTATGTGGCCAAAAACCAGCCGGGTGACATCGCTGTGGTCTCACTCTGCAGGGGTGAGGCAGACTCGCTGGCGCCCACCAGGGCTAGGGCTGATAGGAGCAAAACGCGCCACGTGGAGGTGAGTGCAGGGCTGCCACGTCATTCTTGTGTGCAGGCATGTTGTGACCGTGATCCCGGAGCAGGATTGCCTGGTTGATAACTTCAGTCATACAGGATGTGTGCCCCTGCATACTGGTGACTGCTTGAAGGTGGTCGGACTGGAAGGTGCATGACTGGTCAAACCGACAATTTCATGCCTCATGACGGTAATTCGTAGAAGCACAACACTTGAACGAACACCAACGGTGTTTTCAACACAAGATACAGTCGGTCAAAGCCCGAAGATCTGCAGAGTCCGTAGCATCAATCCACCTTCGACTAGATTTGAATTTTTTTCTAGTATCACAGTCTCAACGTTGCAGCCCTGGTTTGACGCATCAACAGCAAATGCAGGCGGTCTGCCGAGCTGTAAGAGCGCCGCCATGGTCGGCACGCAATTTGATGCGGGGCGGTGCGGCCCTGCCGACTGGCGCCGCGGCCAACCCGTTGGTAGTGCATGCTGCGTCTGCCCAGGGCACAATGCACCACGCGGTTGTCCAAATGCATGGCGACCCTTTTATGCAAACAAAGCCGCTGCTGGGAAGGCATGCCACTACTGCTGCGACCGCCGCTGCTGCGATACTGATGATGATTACGAATACAAACGACGCTGTACGGCGCTACACGATGCTCAGCAGCAAGCCGGCCTTGCCGCCGCCGCCCGAGTACACATTGCAATATATGTGTAGCAAAGGTCGAGCCGCTGAAGCTAAAATCTAAGCACTGCCGCGGCCGCTTTCATCGCCGCATCTGCAGCGCCGCCTCAAGGCTGCGGCCGCCATCGAGGCTGGTACAGGCTGATCAGATTGCTGGGATTTGATCAGGTACCGGCGACACCAGTAGCGCTGCGCTCAGGGGGCCCTGAGGCTGGCTGCTGTGAGAGGGCCTACCTGGCACAGCATTTGAAGCCCTCGGTGATTGCTGCGCATCGGTCAGCAGGTGATGGTTCAGCACAAGGCGACACCACCAGTTGGCTTGATCGCCTGACTTGGTCGGTTCGACACTTCGACTTCTGCCTGCGCTGCTGTTGCTCCGCTCGCCCCCGCTGCACGGGCACGGCACTGTTCCAGACGGGGCGCCACCCCAAGCAATGGCATTGTCTGCTGTTGGGGAGGCCACCTAGACGGACACCGTGGTGACCCAGCTTTGCCTGGCGGGAGGCGGGGCAAGAGCACGCAGCGGCAAAGGAAAACGCGCAGCTGATCGCACATGAGGCGAGGAGCGCAGCTGCGGCTGCAGGCGGGGCGAGGCGCTGGCGGAGGTGCCCACGCACGGGGCGCAGTGCGCCCATTGTCATGCTCATGGCGCCCTCAGATTCCGCTCACAGCAGCTGCCACAGCTGGCCGAGCGCAAAGCCTGGCATGCGGCCTCGGCATTGACCCGCTTGCGCGCCCACTCCACTTGAAATGATTTGCTGGGCAAAGCCGCCCGCTGCCGAGGTGCGGGCACGGTGCTGCACGCTGCAGCGCTTCCTGAGTTCACGCGCGGCACGGTCACCACCTGCCTCGGGTTTGGTTTTCACGCCAGAATTAGAGAGGGGACAGCGCTACGCCCTGCTCAACATCACATGTAGAGAGGAATGCGGGCACGGTTGTATGGTCAAGCCGAGCGGGCAGTCCGATGCGCTCCCCCTTTTCACCTGGGTCAGGTGCATGCAACCGGGCAGCAGCAGGGAAGAACGTCACCCCACTGGGGGAATCACTTACAAGTGGCCTGGTGGCTGCTGCACGAAATCCGCGCACACAGTTTTGACCTCTTCGACTCTTTTGTTATATTCCAAACAAGCTAGTACTGAGTCTTCGGCACGAAAGTACGAACGATCCCTTCGTTCTGGCTCATCCCCGCGTTCACCGCTATGCACTGACGCAGAGGTCTTTCTGCGCTAGCTGATGGCATCTCTGCTGTGCAACTGGCTCTGCGGGGGCTTGGGCATTCCCACAGGTGCACCTCCCCGCGCGGCCTGACCGCCCTGGACGCGCCGCCGCACCTGCTGCGCCCGCTCCTGCGCGCCACGCCCACCATGCCGCCGTTGCGCTGCCGCTTAGATGATATGGAGCTTCTGGTGCCGTTGTACATTTGGCCCTGCCCCGTCTTCGATGATCTGGTGGGCAGCAAGCGGCGTGTCGGGGCATGCCCGCTGCGTCAGCAGCGCGCCTGCATGCGCGCATGTGCGGCCCTCCCCATATGGCATGCGCATGCCATCTTATGCGCATGCACATGACATCCAACATGCTGCGCGCGTTGTCCTCTGCACGCATGCTGCTCCCTCAGAAAAGAGCCCACGGCGACTTGACGCACCGCACCACACCCATACAACCCGCCCCACCCGCCCAGATCAAGAGCGCCGCAAACCTGCCTGCCGGCCGCAAGTCCGCGGTCATTGTCGGCGGCAGCGCGGGGCCCGGCCCAGAGAAGCCGTTCAGCCAGCTGCACCAGGATCACTGGCGCCGCCTGAAGGACGCCGGCTGGTTTCTTTACGGGTGGGCGACCCCCGCGCGCCGACGCGCTTTATCTGCTGCTTCGTACAGCCCGCCGGTTCCTCGGACCCTCAAGGGTCCCAATCCCAGCTTTCCTTTCGGCCCCCAAACAGCACAGCTGTGCGTGCGCCTTGCATGCGTCCTCGGCCGGCGTGCTCAAGGCGCCAGCAACAGCGCGCACCACCACCTCAGCCAACCCGCCTCTGTTGCGGTAACAACGCAGCTACGTGCACTGCACGCGCGGCGAGCGGCCGGTCAAGGAGGTCATGGCCGACGTGGACGGCTGGGTGGAGCTGTACGGCGACCTCGTGGGCGGCATCTTTGTGGACGAGTCACCCAACCACTTTGACGAGGTGCGGCCCCCGCAGGCAGGGCTGGGCGGCGGCGCGCCCCTGCGTACAAAACAAAAGCGCGGCACCGGTGGGGTGCCGCGGCCGGCCAACCCCAAGGGTAGCGGCGCTCCGCCCGCGGCGGCCGGCAGACTGCGGCGTTGAGGGAGCTGCGGCGCGCACGGCCCTGCGCTGGCTTCGGCAGGGCGCCACGGCGCGAGGTTTGCTGCAAGCGCGCCGGCTGGCGCCGCCGCCTGCGCCTGATTAAACCGGCTCCCGCCGCGCGCCTGCCCCCAGTCGCAACCACTGGAAAATCCTCTCAGCGCCGCCCTCACCCTCACACGTCCTGCCTGGCCGTGACAACCTCCCCCCCCCCCCACTTTTCAGGCGCTGATTGACTACTTCGACACGCTGGTCTCCCACATCAAGGGCGCGGGCCGCAAGGTCTGCCTCAACCCTGGGACGGAGATGCACGACGGCGGCGTTATCTCGAGCCGTGTGGATATCGTGGTCGGATTTGAGAGCTCCGCCGAGGCCTGGCACGCGCTGCCCCTCGGCTTCCGCTGCCGCTGCTCGCCGCACGGCGCGGCCGGCGCGGCGATGATCCACTCGCTCCCGTCGCCGCGCGCCGGGCGGATGCGGCGGCGGCTGATCGGGCTGCTGCGGGCGGCGCGGGCGAGGGGGTTCAGGGTCGTCTACATAACCGACGCGGTGATGCCAGATCCCTACAACCAGCTGCCGTCGTTCTGGGCCAAGGAGGTGGAGTGCCTGGGCGTCAAGAGCGCCGCCGCGCCGCTGCCGCCACCGGGGGTGGCAGAGCCCGCGTGAGGTTGTTATGGCAGCGCCGCGCTTCCGCTTCATCTCAGGCCTAGACGTGCCGCCATGCGCGCGAGCCCCAGCGACGATTCGCAATTCAGGGTGGCGGGCTAGGTTTCATGTATTGCGTTGCGCCGCCAGCGACGCAAGGGGGGCCGCGGCGGGGCAGGGGCGGCCGCGGCGGCGCTGTCTCCGGCATACTGATTGCTGCGGCTGCTCGTGGCAGCGACGCTTTCATGGCGGTCACCCTCAAGGTTCGTGCCGGCCAGAGTATTGCCCCTGGCCCACAAGCAACCTGCCGTTGCACCGTGTGGCCTTCACCCCCGGTATTATATATGTATTACTATGAATATGCGATCCACTTTGGGTGCAGCACTGCACTCGAGGTACACAGCACAGACCTCCCCTTGATCATGCCTTCACCCGCCTCAGCTGGTGCTCACCCCAGACATTTGACTTGCCACCTTCCAACCTGCTGTTGTCGCCCCATTCGACGCTACGTTGCGGCCGCCGCAGCCAACCTATTACTTCTTTGACACGCGCTGGTCTACTTTGCTTGCCTCCCATTTCATGGCTGCGCTACTTCCAAGCTGTTGCCGTCCCTTGGCCTGAGCATCTTGCTAGTGGTCAACCCCCGATGCCGTTTGCCTAAGGGGCGGCGCCAGGGACGCAGAGGCTGAAGATACTGGTGTAAAGTTGGGGTGCAGTTGATGTGGGAGGGTCATGCTGCCCGCCCGCATGCCCGGGGCGGCCACCTCGGTGCACCGGGACCTGCCTGTGACCTGCGCCAGCCGTGGCTGCGCATAATGCGTGTGCAGCGACTTGCCCAAGCCAGCTGTCATGACAAAAAGGACCACAGCTCTCTAGAATGCCATCAAGCTCTGTAAACCTTCGCGTGCAACCGGCAGAACACGGCAAATCGATGCAGCAACCCGTAAATCGATCTCGTGTGCATGCCTGCTGCACAGCACACTTTAGCGCATCGTGACCCCGAAACGGATACTTAGTGTTTCCTTACATTCTCAAGTATCCCGCAGCCAAGGGCTTGCAGCGGCGCACGCCTCGCCGCGGTGAGCGCGCGCATTTGCACACCCACCGCCTCGTAGGCCCGCGCCCGCGCTGCGGCCTCTGGGCCCGCGCCTCTCAGGGGTGGGGCGCGGCGGCCAGCAGTGCGCACGGCCATGATTGGCGTGGCCCGTTCGTCAGCCGGCATGGATGCGGATGGCGGCGAGACTGGCGGTTGGTACGCCGACGCAAGGACCGCCGGGGCGGCGCGCGGCGCGCTGGCGCCGCAGGCTGCCCCCGGCAGGGCCAGACGGCAGCATGCTCCGCAGCAGCACGGCCAGTGGCAGGCGGAGCAGCAGCGCGCGCCCGTGGTCCTCACGGCCTCCGGGCCGCATGCGCGCGCCGGCGCCGCGGCGGCGGCGGCGGACGCGGGCCGCGGCGGGTGGGGGTGGCAGTGGAGCGAGGGGGAACAGGAGGAAGAGGAGGAGGAGGCCTGGTGGTCGAATGGAGACGGAATGGCCGCGGCGCGCTTCGCTGGTGGCGAGTATGAGGGCCAAGGGGAATGGGGGGTGGCCGCTCCTCAGGCGGAGGGCCGCTTTTCGGGGTGGCAGCAGCCCGCTGCTCGCTCACCGCTCCCGGAGCCTCCCGCGCCGCCGCCGCCTCCGGCCACCCAGCCGCCGCAACGGCCCGCGCCGCGGCAGCAGTGGATGTGGCAGCGGCGGCGGCGGGCGCAGGCCGACGCAGCGGCGGCCGCCGCCGCAGAGGCGGCTGCGGCTGCGGCTGCGGCGGCGGCGGCCGAGCGCCAGGCGAGCCCCTCCTCATCTGGCGCCACCCGCAGCGGCAGCGCCGGGCGCCCGCCGCTGTGGGGCCGCTTCTCCTCCGCAGCATGCGACCCGCCCGCCGGCCCCGCGCGCCGGCCCGGCGGCGGCGCTGCGGGCGCGTGGGCCGCGGGCGATAGCGACAGCGGCAGCGACGCCAGCGGCGGGGGCGGCGGTGAGGAGGAGGACGGCTTTGGCTACGGCGGCGCCGGCCGCGGCGAGGCGGACATGTCGCTGCCGCCGCCGCCGCTGGAAGCGTTTGAGCATGCTGACGAGGACGACGGCGACACCACCGCCGCGCAGGTGCGGTCCGCCC